TTTGTAAGTATTTTGTTTGATATTACCTGTTGCAAAGACAAAAGTCTTTGTTGTGTGAGTAGCATAACGGTTTTATAACTGTTCTTTTTTACTTCACAGGTCAAAACTGCAGTTATAACATTCAAAGACCTGACATTTTGTAAAAGAATTTGTACAGAATGATGTAGCAATGAAACATTAACGCATGATGTAAAGCTAATAAATAACGCTTCCACCTGAGAATGGACTCAGACAGCTTTTTGTTAAATCACAAAATGCAGGTTTGTTAAAATGGACTCATTGGACATTTTGGGAAGTACAGTTATTTTTTTTATAGCCAAAATCTAGATGAGAAGATAAGATGTGTGTGGTTAGTACTGAAGAGACCAGCATGCAAATTTTAAGCTGGGATGATATTTCCATGTTGTTGAGCACAAGGACTGCTGTGGATGTAAATTATACTAAAAACATTCCAGCAGCTCCGGCTAATAAAACAACAGCAATGTATAAACGCCAACAGACAATTTATCAATAGCAACAAACAATTGTTCCAGAGAATCTTCAATTGTTTCACTTAAATGCATCAGATCCAAACCTCCATGAAAGCACATAATGAGAACACAAAGTTGGCTACATGAACAAACTGGAGCCTCTTCATCCTTGGTTTCCACGCAGGTTTCCCAAGATGTGCTAGTCTGCCACAATCTCAGCCTCTCATCGCCTGTATTCCTAAAATTTTCAGCTTAAAACCCCCAAAGGGAGGGTGTCAGAGATTCAGTGGCCAAAGTATGAAAACATCAGTCATGCAAAAGCACTGTTTGTATGTGAATCAACTGGTACTTCATTCAATCCTACGAGAGGCTCCGTGAGCTCAGATTTCTTTAGAAATGGAAAGAAACACTTTCGTTCATTTAACATGTGCTAGCTGTGTACTGTAGTGCTTTATGCATCCTGTAACAAAATATTTCACTAAACTTGCTTCACATGAAGCAGGAAAATCTACTCAATTCATGCACATACTCCATGAAAACTGTCTCTTGTATGGCTGGGGTGAAGTTTACATCCATCTGTAAGGAACCAATTTAATTGCGTTGAACACCAGGGGGCACAGCCTGAATTAAATAAAGATTCATAAATAAGACAGAACTATGTGTAAATGGGGCTTAACAGGTCCATCCAACCAAAGGCATAACAATAACCAAAAGCACACAAGCAGCCCTCCTAAAACAATTTTGCATAGTAATGTAATACAGGATAGCAGCCAACTCCATCAGAATAATCTGCAGGATATCTTATTCTAATTCAGCTTTGAGTTGCAGAGGGTTGAAGTTACTAGAACAGTAAATTCACCCTTCTACATTATTGCATAAGTATTTTCCCTGTTACTTTTAGCATATTTTTTTCCGATTACTGCCAACCCTTCGACCCTATGCAAGCTGTCCTTAGTATTTTCTCCACCACTGCCCATGTCTGTATGTTACGGTACACAAAAACTTATAAATAATTGTGTTTTTAGATCAGTGAGGTTACTCAGCCGCAGCCTATGGGGGCAAATGACGTGCACATACACAAACACCAACAAGCTGCAGATACATGAACGTGTTGCATAAACCGAAATGCGGTGCAAAACGAAAACGCTGCATATCCAGTCACACAACACAAGTGCCACAGGCCTCTAGGGTCTTTTCAGTCACTGTGATTATATGGGTGCTGAAGTGGTGTTTTACTACCATCTCCCTGTGTTCTCTCTGTTATTTATGCTTATCCATGGAGATGAGAGAATACATACCTTTACATACAGCATTTCCCTCAACTAACACTACTTGTCTCGCTCACCGTTGCCTGCCTCTCAGGTGAAAAGCTCACTGCTGCCCCTAGAGGCCTGTGGCATGTCTGCTGTGTGTGACTGGATATGCAGCGTTTTCTTTTTGCAGCACGTTTCTGTTTATGCAACGCGTTCATGTATATGCAGCTCGTTTGTGTATGTGCACGTCATTTGCCCCCGTCGGTCACCTGTATGCATACCCTCTTTAAAAATGGAGGTGACATAGACCAATGAGTTTGCTGTTGAGTTTGTGAGTCTCTCCTGAGAAAAGTGAAGTGTTGCTGTCACAGCAGTTAACTAACTTCAGTTGGCTGTAAGGAGCCTCAAAGAGCTGAATAGTTACTGAAAGTCTGCATGCTGTGTTTGCTGTCAGAGAGACAAAATAAAGAGTTCATGTTCAATACTGCTCACCACAGACAAATGTCAGCAGCAGAAACAGATCTAGTTAAAGTAACCATGGCAATGGTGGTCTCTTTTCTGGTTTATATTTTCACATTTAGTTTGGCTGCTTTACTGCAGAGAAAGAGTCAGTCTTGTCCTTGTAAAGAGTTTCTTGGCAGCATTTGTTTAAATAAGGTAAACGTTAAAAATCACAAAATTTGTGTTGTTCGCCTACTAATCAAGCAACACGACAACTGAGTAGGCTACCTTCCAATAATGTAGGGCTTTTTTTCTTTTCTTTTCTTTTTTTTTTTTTTAAAAAGACAAATGCAACAGGAAACTAAAAAGAAACACTCAGCTCACAGGCCTAATGGTGCGGATGGTAGATGTATTGTCGGTGTTTAGCAGCTGCATTTATGCTGAACCTCAGTGATTTCCAAGTATAAATCATAGTACTGAGTAAACATACAATATGTAGGAGCAGCCAACTCACAGGTGATGTCTGTGTGCAAATGTACATTTTTGGAATTTTTACTCATTACTTTCAACAGTAAACTCACCTAATGAGATAGGTGCAGTGTTTCCTCTACATTCATTTATGTGCGGCGGGCCGCCATTCCTAAATCTGAGCCGCCGCGCCTTCAAATTTCTTTTTTTTATTGTCGCAAATACACCCCTGCCACATGTCTCCACCTTCACAGCAGAGTCCTGCACTGGGCTGGGTGCTCGCGAGTACCACGGTAAACAACAGATAACTATCTTGCTCAGTATCTACTCTCTGGGGATTAATACAATATTAATTGCTTGCGAGAGCGCGGCCTTGAAAGTGACACTGTTTATTCCGCTCATAGAAAAGACCACATGAGAAAAAATGACTTGGTTTCATCTTTGACAAAACTGACATTAGAACGCCCTGGTCTACTCTTTTTAAAGTCATTTTTGGTCGCACAACGGTCTGAGCAACACGGCCAACAGCAGCGAGCGCAGCCTGCTATGTGGGGCATTCAGGGAACATCGGAAATTGTAGTCTATGGATAAGAATAATGTTCAGCCAGTCATATGTTTTGTCTGTGACAAGGCAGGAAGTGCGAACAAATGAGAAAGTTGGACGCACCGGTAAAAAAAATTTTTTTTTTTAAAGACAAAAAAAGACTCAGTCTGGAGTCCTGTGTGGACTTCCGTGTGGCACGAGCGTTGTTCGGTAAATAGCTATGTATGCAGTGACGTATGGCGGGGCTCTAACTTAGCTCCTGGTCAATGGAAAAGCAACCGGTTCTTTGGAGGTGCCAGGTTTGACCCAACTTAGCACTGGAACTAGCACCAGCACGGAACTAGCACCTGGTTCTTCTTGGTGGAAAAGGGGCAGAGTCAGAGGAGGGTCGTCTTGGAGAATAGGGCAGCGACTTACCACAGAAAAGGTAGACTTATTAGCTTCAGGTAACTCGGAATACATTTTACAAACAGACTTTCGCAAAACATTGATGGCCTGCTATTGTTACATAACATATTGGTAGCTTAAGTTAATTGGGCCTGGTGCCAACTCACTGTCGCTAACGTGAGTAAACTAACTGATAGCATTAAGCTAATATCTACACGCCATGATGGAACTGCTGACTGCATCTTCAGATGAGCTTGTTCACATATTTCTCTAAGAAGAGAAAGACACCTGATGAAGATGACCGGTAGCATGAGCCTTTTACTGACTCAAATGATAATGGTCAGGTAAAAAAATAGTGTAATAATATATCATCAGACACAAAATGAGAGAAACAATCTCATTATTGTTTTTATTTGTAGGTGAAGACTGACTAGAGAAACAAGCTTCAGGGGATCAGCTTGCAGCATGTATGCTGCTGAGCATCAGCGGCCACCTCTTGGAGAATTTCTCAACAACAGAGCCTAAGAGCTCTTTTATAAACAAAAACAAAAAAACCTTATATTTATTTATTATTTTTATATTCAGCCTTTAAAAAGCCATTTTTAATTGGTCATTGAATAAATAGGTTGTAAAAGTAAAATCTGCAGTCAAATGTCATTTGTTTATGCCGCCATGGCTCCCCAGAGAGCCTGCCCCCGCTGCTGAAAAAACTCCAAGAGGAAACTGTTGTGGGATTTTTTGGATTGAACAAAAGATAAAACTGATTTTAGAGTTACAGAAAAGACAAACCTAAAGATATGATTAGGAAGGTGACGTAAATGTGGAAATAAGACTAAAATGTGATGTGTAAAAGATAAGCATGAAGAAATAATGTGAGTAAATAATATGTGTAAACAAAAACAAAGGATATGAATAGACTGGACAAACTTGTGGCAAAAACCCAGCCTAATGAAAATCTATAGAAGCCTTAGACCTGCTGGCAGGCCCGTAGTATAACAGGATGGACACGCATGCACTCTCCCCTGTGCTGTGAGTTCAGTTAAGGACACCATGACCTAAAATTGACCCAGTAAAGACGGCGTCCAGAAAGTCCAAAGCCTCTGTTTCGAATAAACATTCACATTAGACTCTGACGACTGGAGATTTTTTCTTCTCACAGAACTTTTTTGGGACCCGAAGTACCTAGCTAAGGATTGTTGTTTTAGTTATATGTTTTGACGATGCTGCCTGATCATCACTGGCCCGAACCAGGCAGGCCGAGTACCGACAAAACACTGAGGTGGACACTGTTGTGCTGTGTTCACACCAGACGCGAATTCATCGCGCTATTCGCGCGTATTTGGACGCGTGTGTGCACTGAGTTTACTCGCTTCATGCGCGCGTATAAATCGCGTCAAGATTTGTGTAACTGAATTCAAGTCAGTCGCACGAATGACGCTATCCAGAAGCCGGATCCATGGGATCCCCCAGAGACACACACAGCTCGGGGAATTCCCCCACCTTCTCCCAGAGCTGCACCTGGATGACAGTCGCTTCCAGCGCTGTTTTCGGCTGATTCTGACTCAGTTTGACGACCTGTTGGAGAGAATCAGTACCAGGATATCACTCCAGGATACTAACTACAGGCGCTTGCCGAGATAGAGCGATGTTTTTTCCATGCTACATACAACAACACGGACGAGCGGCCGCCAGCAGGAGTATGCTGACCAGTGACAAGGAGCCAGCGGAGGTTTATCCCGCTAGCATTGCGATAGCAAGCAACTCGGCTCGCTCGTTTGGTGTCATTCTTGTGTGTGAACTGGAGGAGAGGGACAGCCACATCTGAGCACTGAGATCTGCCTTGGCCAGTGATGTGGCTACTTATCTCCTGGGGTGAGTAAATCAATCTGTATTCACAGTGTAATTACAAAAAATGAATAAATCATGTTCGTAATGTCACCAGAGAATCTCAACGCTGATTGGCCATCACGGTGCGTCAGATCACAAAAGTTCAGATTTTTCAACTTGCTCTTCAGACGCGCGTATCGCACGTATCGCACGTATTGCGCATCTACAATCACATCAGACGCGCGTCAAGCTCGCTCAATTTGCGTCAATCGCGCCACGCTACTTGTGCGAGTCGCACCGTGGAACGTTTACTCGCATCTAATCGCGTCTTCACATTGACTTTACATTGAAAGCATTCGCGCGAATGATTTTACTCGTGTCTGGTGTGAACACAGCATAAGACACATTCTAAAGGACAGACCTGCTACTTCAACACTTCTGAAGAGAAATCTATGGAAGAGTTCTTTAACGCTAAAGATTGCAGTTCAGGACACAAGTCCTGCGAACTCACAAAAAGGCAAATCATCTGCGTTGTAACACCTGAACTGGGAAACATCCAGCGATTCATATTGTTCGCCCAACACAAGTGCTAGAAGTCTAAACTGTGAGGATAAAACACGTTTTAAACCTCATTCTGGGGCAAAGTCCCCAAACTTTGTATGATCAGATTTGTCTAGTAATTTTACACATACAGTTCTAAAGTCTTGGTGAGCTTTGAAGTTACAGTTATGGCTCTCTTTTCATATATTAAGATTTTAGGCTGATTTTATTAACCTGAAAATACTGCAGATGATAGCTGCAGTGTTGTGAGAACCTGGCAACAATGACCCTGTTTGAATGGTTTTACTTTAAATTTAACAGCTAGTTTTCTAACAATTATAGTTAAAAATAAATAAATAAAACGGCCATTTCTAATAACGTTATTTGGTTTCTGGAAATCATCTCGCTACCTCCACTTTGGGAACCGCTGCTTGAGAATATTGCTTTGAGCTCGTTGCAATGAAGCCACCTGGAGTGAACTTATCACCATTTATGTGCCATCTTTATTTGTCAAAATCAAAGATTTCTTCAAATATTCTGCGAGGTTCTTCAACCTCCTTTTCCTTCTCCTCCACAACGGCAGAACCCTTCACCTGCTTCTCCTCACCTTCCTCCTCCTCCCACACAACTCCTCCACCTCCAAACGGCCACTCCAACTCCTTGTCCGTGTTCTCCGCCTTACCCACTGCAGTCACAGCTGTCTTTTCAGGCGTCGATGTCCGCCTCTGCTCAGTCACCTTTCTGGTCGTCTCTAGTTGTTGTGATGTTGTTGGTTTCGTTGTTGTTGTGTTGTAGACCACCTTCCTGTTTGTTGTGGAGGGTTTCGCTTTCGGCTCGATTTTCCATGATTTGCTGCTGATTATTTGAGTCACTGGAAAGCACAGAAAGTTTGAAATTATATTCTGACATCCCAAAATTGGAAAAATCACTATGACAAAGAAAAAAAACAACAGATGCTCCAATTCTTTTAAATAGGTCAACTAAGTGTGAATTTGATTTGAATCATGAGCGCTCTAAAGTGGAGATGTGAATGATTAATCAACAAATTGCAGTTTAATCGATTAAAAATATATACACTGTTAAGCAGCAGACCCAGGACATGCATGCCAGATAACGCCTTGTAGATTAGCTGCAGTACCCGTTTGTTCCACCAGGTAGAACCTTTTATTGTTCAATACTGTAGCAACCTGAGGAGTTGGTCGCTCAGACTATGGGCAGTTAATGTTGGCAAGGAGAGAACATTGTGGGGGTTTAGCTAGCAGATGGGAGCCATGACAAAGACTTTTGTGACAGTTAACGGTTTCCAGCTATTGCTGACTCTTTAGACGAAATGTGGTATAGACCAGGGGTTGGCAACCCGCAGCTCTTTCATACCTCTGCTGCAACTCCTTGTGGCTTTGGAAAATAAATAATGAGTATTTCAGTTTAAATGTATTTTATTTTAGCTCGTTAGTTTTTAAAATGTAATTCTAGATTTGAAGATTTTTGTGAACTTGTACCATTAAAATAAAACGTGTTGAATTTTTTTGTCGCTCAAAATATGCGTCACAACCGCCGATGTGCAACACCCGCCAGCATGTGCATTGTTGCCAACTGGATAACTTTCTCGCTAAATCTGACAATTTTCCAAATCTTCTTGGCAATTTTTTTGTTTTTTTCCAAAAGTGACTAGCGACAAATGTAGCGACTCTTTCTGGTATTACTGGAAACTTTTCTGGTGTTTTGGAGACTCTGACGTGACAACACGTATCGTTCTGCAGTTACTGTCCTCAGCCAGCAGCGGTGCTGTCATAAGATCCTCCCGTCCCAAAGCGCTCACAGGCGGTCAGCAGTGTGGAGCAGCAGTCCCAGCTGCAGACAGCAGGACAACCAGATGGCATTTTTACTTTGCTGCAGGTGGATAATTTAAGTTCAGCTTTTTATTTCATATATACACGGAGGACTCAAATAGACGCTGAATATTTTATTTGATAGTAACCTTCAACCCAGCATCTTTTTTTTCTCTCTTTTTTTTTTGGAGTTCAAAATGTTTTTGTTGCAGAAATAAAATTTTGTTTTCTCTGTAGCAGTTCACTGATTTCATAAATGCAACACACTATAGCTTTTTATACATAGCATCAAGGTAAAAACGATATATACAGCATTATCTTCATTTTAGATGTCAAAAGGGTTTTGTGGCTCCCGGTCTTTTCTTTTCCGTGGGAAACAGGTGGAAATGGCTCTTTGAGTGTTGAAGGTTGCCAACCCCTGGTATAGACGAACAATGTGCTTATGATCACTAAGGTAACCGAGCTGCCTTTATAGCAAATATTATGGCTCTGTGGTTAAAAATGGTGTCATTGGCATATGGAAGAACTGAACTTCATTCGCTTAACCAATTAATTTTGATTGACAATGTGACTATTGGTTAAGGCAGGGCTTGGCAACCTCAAACACTCAAGAGCCATTTGGACCCATTTTCCACAGAAAAGAAAACACGGGGAGCCACAAAACCCTTTTGACAAGTGAATTAAATTTTATTTCTCCATGTAACAAAAGCATTTTGAACTCAGAAAAAAAAAGACACTGGGTTGAAGGTTACTTTCAAATAAAATACTCAATGTATTTGAATCCTCCTCGTATATATGAAATAAAAAGCTGAACTTGAACTATCCACCTGCAGCAAAGTAAAAATGACGTCTGGTTGGCCTGCTGTCTGCAGCTGGGACCGCTGCGCTAGACTGCTGACCACCTAGGAGCGCTTTGGGACGGAGAGGAGCTCATAGCAGCACCAGCTGCTCGCTGAGGACAGTAACTGCAGAACGACACGTGTTTTCACGTCAGAGTCTCTAAAAACACAGAAAAGTCTCCAATAACACTAGAAAGAGTCACTAGATTTGTCGCTAGTCACTTTTGACAAAAAAGCAAAGAGATTTGGAACGTCACCAGATGCTGGCGTGCTGGTGGGTGTGACGCATATTTGAGCAACAAAAAAATTAAGCACGTCTTATTTTATTGTTACAAGATCACCATAATCTTCAAATTTAGAATTACATTTTAAAAACGAACGAACTAAAATAAAGTAAATTTAAATTAACTACTCATTTTCCAAAGCCACAAGGAGCCACAGCAGAGGTATGAAAGAGCCATGTGTGGCTTGCCGACCCCTGGGTTAAGGAAATCACAGAGAGTTTGTGGAGATGAAGACTTTGCAAATAGCTGGCATTTTTCCGACACGTGTCACAGAAAACATCATTTAACGTTTCCTACAGAGGCACAACTTTATGTGTACTTAAAGAAGCAATAAACAAGTTAATTGTACAAGTTATTCTTTTGCATGTGTCATATTAACTGTGTGTTTTTTTAATATTTAGGTATGCCTCTCCTACCACTCCACCTACAGAATGGGCTGACCAAGTTGTTTCAGGTTTGGATTATACAGACAACACTGGTCATTGCAGCTTTAAATCTTTTCATGGGATTTGCCAACAGCATAGTATTTCCTCAGCCTTAATCCTAAATGATGACAGGATGCGTTATAATGTGAAAAATGTGGGACGTGATGACTCACCTCTGGATGCAGCAGAGCTACAGTTGGAGTCACAGCAGGCACACACAGAGTCCGGTCCAAACAGCTCAACCCATCTGAGAAAAACAACAATCAAGAGCTGATCCCTTTCGATATAGACATGTCCAGACTTTTTAAAATTCTGAAACAAACCTCCCGGCTTCCGTGTCGTAGTTGCAGGACTTGGTTGTCGGAGAGGGGACCGAGCTGCCCACGGACATAGTGCAGTGCATGTAGAGTTGCTGCAGCAGATAAAAGTCAGGATTGTCCATCCGGAAAAATAGACAGATGTGCTATAGCAAAAAAACTTGCAGAGAGGATGGAAAAATGTCAGATTAATAAAGTGGTAGTCCTGCTTACCTGTCCCGTCACTCCCTTGAACAGGAAGGCATCCACAGAGAATCTCACAGCGTCGTTTTTGTATGGAATGAATCTGGAGCGACTGTCCTTGCTTTCAACCATACATCTTTATCAGAAGAAGAGCGACGGTGACAATCATGTATGCCAATTTGCAGATGTTTTTTTTGCCTTTAGATAAACCTCCAGTTTGTTTCAGTGTGACGTGTTTATTACCCAAAGTTTGTCACGACTGGAAATTGAGGCGTAGAGGTGTGGGACCTCTCGGGAGTCGCGTAACACGAGTGGACGTACAGCCTTTCATCATGAGCTGTGGGCAGGGCCTCGGCCTCAAAGTACATGGGTTTCCCCAGCACATACTGATCTGATGGAGAGAGTCTCTCCCACTGAGCTGGAAGACAGAAAGAAACCAGTCAGACAAGAGGCACAAAAGCTTCAATACTCTAACAAATTTTGTGCACACCAGGCTTCTAAAATACAACACACAGCACACAAGAGAAGGGACTACACCCCTTTGTAACATCACTTAAATATCACAGGATTCAAAGTTGTATCATCGCTCAATAATTGCGTTACTTCTAAGTTGAACAAAGTATTTCCCCTTATAAACACTCAAAAACATATACTTCAGCAAGACTATATTATAAATTCCATCTGTGATTTCCAATCGGCCAAAGTGCATAAACGTGCTTCTAAAATGAGCTGTGAACAGCAGAGCATTGTTTTGTGTTTATCTGTATGTCTGCATCATGTCTCCACGTGGGAAAGAATTGCCAGAGGAACTGAAATCTGATTAGGAGACTTCAGAAAGACGAAAAAAGACACGGGAAGATCCACTAAAAATCAGTGGAACCACAGTTGCAGCAGTAATCAGGAGCTATAGAAGGAGCCACAGTGCCGCTAATCAGAGCTGCTGCAGTTGTTGTACTCCTAAAATAGCTCCACAAAGTTTCTGTAACAGCTCAGACAGTGTGAAGGACAGTTCATATTATCAGCCTCTATGGATGAAGAATAAGAAATACATCACTGCTCATCTGTCATAACAAAACTGCAAGGTGGAACTTGGCTAAAGAACCTGAAAAGAGGCCTGGTGAATGTTGAGAAAACATTCTTTGGTCAGATGAGATCAAGACATATTTGTTGGGGTCCAGCATGTTTGGTGTGAACCTGACCTGGACAACAACAGTGAATGCATAGTCCTGACAGTGAAGCCCAGAGGTGGGAGTGTCACCTGACTGGAATCCAACAGAACATCTACATTTTAAAGAGAAAAGTACAACAACAACCCATCCAGCAAAGAGCAGCTGAAGAATAGTCTGAACAATGACAAAACATCTCAACCAATAAAATGAGCCTGTCATCAAAAATAAAACTGGACATACAAGGTACTTTAAGGCCTGTACGCAAGTTCAGACTTTTTATTTTATCTAAGGGCAAATACCCTACTGGTCCACTTAGATGTCATCTGATTACAGTGAGATACAGTTTAGAATCATTTCTATTTTTACTGTACAGGAGTGTACTCCACAGTGGCTTAAATAAGGCTGAGAAAAGTGACACTGAACTGCCGCCATCATAAAAACTGAAAATTCATTTTGACAGCAGTAGTGTGCAGACTTTTAAACAGCTTAACTCCTTCAATCCAGTGAAGCTTTTTCTTTTTCCAACACGACGTTCACAACATTTTCATTTATCCTAAAATGCTTCTCTTACATACAAATTGTTTTAGCCTTTGCTCTGACCCATTAAAAATTAGGAAATAAACCAACGACTTTTCTTTAATATAATCTAACTTTTCAAGACCACTTAAAACCACATAAAGCAGCTGGAGATTGACAGTAAGATGGATTTTAGCAGATTTACCATTCCGTGGCGTCAGAATGAATTTCACTCCATTCTTCATCTTCTTGAAGATCTTACGCAACTGCACCTTTGGTGTGTAGCCAATTTTGTAGGAATATTGGTACCTAAAAAGTTAAAAACATTATCTACATTTTTTAAAAACTGTTAAAATAAGATTTGCTGAGAAATCTTTTTAGGGTGGATCAGTCTCACCTGTTGAAATAACACGTAACAGGCAGGGCGAAGGGCACACTTCGTCTGATTGGTCCTTGCTGCACTGGTGGGTCATATTGGAGCGTGTTTGAATAGGCCACCTGGTTATCTATTATCTGCAAACAATCAGCTAAATTATTCACCATTATGCAGAAGGACTACAGACACGCTAGAGGACATGCATGGCTGTACACTGAGCTTAATGCAACACATGCTAATACAGTATAGATAGATAGATAGATAGATAGATAGATAGATAGATAGATAGATAGATAGATAGATAGATAGATAGATAGTCATTCAAGCACAGATGCATAAAAAAAACAGTGAAGTAGAACGAAATTTCTTTGCATAATGCTCTCTGCTACAGTTTAAAAAATACAATCATCGGCCATAAAAGTGCTTTTTGAGTGCATACAATAAAGAAAGATCTGTATTGAATATATATATGAACAAATAGCTAGATAAAAAAAATAGAAGTAACAAAAAAATAGTTCTACAAAGGCAGCAGTTTTGGGTGTGTTTGTTAGGAGTTCAGTAGTCTTATGGATGTTCTGCTCTTCACACTGCGAAACCTCCTGCCGGAGCTGAGCAGTGACAACAGTTTGTGATGTGGATGTGTGGAGTCTCTGATGATGTTATTTGCTCTTGTCAGACAGCATTTATGCCCAATGTCCTGGATGGAGGGGAGAGAAGTTCCAATCATTTTTCTCCGCTGTTCTCACAACCCTCTGAAGGCACTTTGAGTCCGCAGCTGTGCAGCCTCCGTAACAAAGAGTGATGCAGTTTGTCATTACGGATTCAGTTGTGCTCCTGTAAAAGGTGGAGAGGATAGGGAGAGGATAGGAGGGGGGAGGTGTAATCTTCTCATTCTGCGAAACGCTGACATGGTAGCAGGTATACATTTACCGTCATCGTAGTTCAGCATGTGAGCATTTGCTAGCTCAGGCTTGAAGGGAAAGTAGAAATGTACCTTAATATCATTGGATGAAAAGGGTTCACTAAAGTTACTGCCTCATATTCCCAGGAACCTAAGGGTAATCCATCAAATGGATTTTGAAAGTAAGACTCAAACAGATGAGTGTCTTTAACCCTTTCATAAGGGGACTTCCACGAAGGCATTACAATTGCTGCAGGAGCACTGGGAGCAGAGTATGGCTGCAAAGGAGAATACTTCAATGGAGATGGTGAGTAAACATAAACTGGGTACATTTTGGGATTTTTACAGGTGCAAGCCACTAACTTTTTGATCACAACTGGTATGTCAGAATCTGGAGCGAGAACAGAAATCGCCACAGACAAAGTTATTTATCCTCTGGTAACCATAAATGTCAGCACTACATTTGTCAGCAACCAAAATAAATGTAACCACACATATATGCACACACGCTGCTTCAGGGGTCGTCTTACCCCAGCTCACCTACTGGTTGACTGATTTCACGTCCAGACTCACCGTGCGTTTGGTTCCACACATGCGAAAGTCATACTCAAAATAAAGGTGATCCTCGGTAGACTTGCTGAAGCCGCACGTCCCCAGTTTGAGCCCGGTGAGGTCCCCGGTTCCCAGAACGCTCCTCTCCACCTGCACCCGCATCTGCCTCCGCTCGCACGAAGTCTTTACGGAGACACCCGCGGCGCTGGGCGGGGTGGCGCTGGGCCTCGCCGGGAGCAGGATCTCCCGCAGCGTCCCCGGGAGCTTCTCCTGCCCGGTGCCTTTGGCTGGAGAGAAGTGCTCCTTCTCCACCAGCGGCTGCTTGGAGTCCAAGAACATGGGAAGGTCGAGGTAGGGCGTTTGTCTCCGGGGGAGTGTCCTCATCACCTGCGCAGGTGGGTTGGAAGCCGTGCGTCCTTCAGTGGAGGTCAGCAGCGGCAGGAGGAGCAGCAGGTAAACCATGGTCACAGACATCTAACGCGTTTCAAACTCGGTCTGAGGTTGGCAGCGTCGAGCCTGGTGATACTCCCTTTACCTGGCGCCAAATTAGCAGCACCTGGTGGTGAAGAGGAAGCCCATAGAACCAGAGTGGCGCCGCGCACTGGCCGGTTCAGGTAATACACGCAGCGCCGCAGGGTCGAGTGATGTGTCATGCGCAAAAGCATCGGCTCTCCCAGTGAATCAAAAGAGCCAAGTCCCATCGACTGATGCAGACCCGGAGGCTGCACTCTCAGGGCCCTGCGTCACCTCCCACAATGAATGATCGCCAAAATGCGTGATTTAGTTCTGAAGAATGATTTCTCTCAAAATATATTTATAATTTAACAGGTTGATCCAAGGACGATTCCACATAAAGTACTGCTTCATGTCCAAGTACCTATAATTTTAAAGTTTTGTTTCCATCCAAATAGAGCTTTTTAACCAACAAGTTGAGGTTTGAAAGGTTTCTTCCAGCCAAAATACTACTTATTACAATAATAACTTGGCTGCTGAGACTTGCATTTGGGCAAATGGTGTAATTAACTTACTTATTAACAGGTAAAATAATAATGGACTCTGCTGCTGTGGCCTCTGTAGATGTCAAACGGGACAGTTTGACAGGTTGAAAAGACAGGAAACACAAGGACAACTCTGAAGGCAGAATTATATTTTATTATTTATTCAATTCATTATTTTATTTATTCAAATCTCACTATGACTCAGTTTAACATAAACAAGCTAAATGTTGGTTTTACTGCAGCTTTTATCAGTTAAAACATGCACTGAGAAAATTAAGCTGGGGGTTGTGTCCGAAATCACTCCCTGTGCCCTATATAGTGCACTCAAAATAGCCCACAATACACCGTGAAAAGTAGTGTACAGCCAATGGTCACTAACCGAGCAATATGGACCGTCATGCATTGCGCGAAAGGAAATGGAAATGGACATGAACGAGAGCACGGAAAAATTCAC